GGCCTCGGGGAACAAAGGCCCGGCGCAGCCGGTGGAAGGGCGTCGCTGCCCGGGTGTCTCCCTCGCCCTCGGGGCCCCGGCGCTTGCCGGAGCTGCCTGACGTGCTCCACAGCCGCGCTGCCTGCGTCAAGTGAAAAAGGCGTCAGCAGTAACTGCTCGGTGCTTATTGTGGGTTATTGAGAAGCTTCCCAAGTGGAAATAAAATTTCCGACTTGCCTGTGTGCGTAGGACCAGCTATTGGAAGGAAGCCCATTAATTTGTTTTTCAGTCCTGAGTCAACTCTTCACACCAATTGAAATCCTTTAGGCGTCTGCAAAAAATGGGGGCTCCTCGTATTTCTTCTTCAAGTCTGGGATTTACAGGTGTAGTTCTTGAAAACAGAACAGTATCTTTGGATAGAATAAAGGGTTTTCATCTGAAGTGCTTCCTCTTGAAGCAACACTGCATATGCATTGTATTTACTTAGCGTTTAGTATAGTTTATACCAGAGCATCACATCCTCATTTATATGCTCCTTTCAGCATTGTCTGCAGAATTTCAGTTGTGTTTGCATGCTCTACTTACACTTTAAGCCTTTTGCTTAAATTTTACATGCTGTCTGGCTCACTGAGAACACCCACATTGGCATGCCATGCAGTTCATTTGATGTGCTTCATGTCAGTTGATAAAGACAACAGTCTGAGAGTGTCCTGGAAAAGGTGGCACTCAGGAACAGTCTGCAGTCCACAGAGTTATCCGTGTATCCCAGAGTTCATTTTGGCCTCTGACACAGATGAATTGTTTTCTTGGCTGCTACTTTCGCATGAGCCAGAAGAGGGGAGCGAAGAGGAAATGGATGCATGCAACATAATACACATAACTGCGTAGTAAATCCAGTGCTTCCTGGAAGGACTGATCATATGACAGGGAAAACTGCAGCCGTTGTGTGAAACTACATTGCAGGTGAAACTACATGATCTGCTGCTGAAAAGATCGAGCTGATCAGGTTGCTCTTGCAGAAGAGCAGGGACTGTAGTCCCCTGGTGCTTAGACTTGGATTTCAGATCTGGCCCCGTGACTGTGTTTTTGCTAGTTTGGTGCCGATACACGTGAAGTCCCACAAATTTTATATAGTAACAGAAATTAAGTAATTAAGGAGGGCTTTTTTCTTTTTTTAAATATGCTATACTTCTACTTTAAGAAATATCAAAATTGAGCTAGAATTCAATATAAAAATTAATATAAAATTAAATTTATTACAGAGTGATTACTTATGACAAGACAATATTATCAAATGATCTTAGTAGATTTGTAGAGTCTAGAAATCTTGATCTGTCTTGGCATGACGGATCCAGACAGAGCATACGGAGACTAGCTGAACAGAACTTGTATATGGGTCTGTGCTCTGTTGATATTTCAGATTTGTGTTTACTTTACGCTTGTCCTCTTGTGCCTGATCTCACTGTTCAGTTGGATAAGAGCTGAAGAAGCATGTAAATGCACACTAGAGAAAAACCTCGGTAGTAATGGTAGTTTCTGCAAACGTTAAATTTAAAGCACATATATAACATAACAAACTGGAAAACTCTTCATGAAATATTTGATGAGAATTTGTATTCAAGGCATTTAAATTCAGCTATGGCAGAGTATTATCTGTTTGACGTTAAAGCCTTTAACTTCTGCATTGTCTGAAAGGGTCAAGGTGAGTTAAGAGATTTGCTCTCCTAATAGTACAGGAGGGCCCTTAACAGTCTCTTTTTGACTTAATTTAAATTATTAGTGATGACAGTAGAATTAATGGTTTACAATTAGAATAGAAATCACGCTGGTTCTGAAAGCAGCCACTACAGTATGTAAATTATTAACTATTAATACTATCTACTTTGTTTGTAGATAAGGCAAATCCGATACTTACATAGAACAGCAGGGTGCAATGCCAGTGGAGGAACCTTATTTGTGGTAAGTAATTTTCTACTTTACTATAAGGGGGATGTGTAAGAAGAGCTTGGCATATGCTTTTTTAATCTGCCTAAAGCTTCTAACTTTTTATTAGAGTTGTGATGGAGTGTCAAAAGGTTTTATTTTAGGTTTTGGCGTTGTGTTTCTTTCCTTATGTAGTGAAAGCTCTTAGTAATGGTGATACTGTGTGACTGCAGATGAGACTTTGCTTAAACTTTATTTCGTTATAAGACAGTTCTTGTTTCCTGTTCTTATTGGAGTTAATTGAGTTTGTAATTGAAGCTCGTGAAACTTTTTGCAGGCGTAATTTCTTGATTTCTAAAATTTACTGCAGAATTACCCTTAGGTCCAAGTCTAGCCCTGTTTACTAGGATTTCAAAAGTGCAGTTCTTGTTCATATTATATAAGATACAGCATGTTATGTAATAATTCATAATTGAGGCCATTAGGCATTATCATAATATGTATCAATAGTAATAGTGATTGCAAAAAAGAAAAAGCCCTCGAATTTAAATGTGTAAAGCAGATGTGTTGTCTGTCTACCTCTGAAGAGAACCTGAAGCATCTTGAAGAGGTGTATTCTGTCCCATTCTGCTCCATTCAGAGCTTTATCTACTCTGCAGTTTAACAGCTGAATAATTTGGCATTGTTCCAACATTTGGTAGGGATCAGCACTTTGCTAGAGAATTGACCACATTGTTGAAAGCAGGTGCTCAGCATTTTTGGACAGGATTTTTGTTGTTGTTGTTTCCTTTCTGCAGCTGTCTCTACAGCTTTTCTCATAAGATTAAATTAATGGGATTACAGTACATGCTTTGTATGCTTTTCCAGAAACCTGAGCAGGCACTGATGATTTACAGAGCGAGAGCTGCATTCAAGGAATAGAGGAAACAGTGTAGGCTGACAGCTTTGGAAAAGTCAGCTGTAGTTTGAGGTTGGTGACGACAGGCAAAAGGTGTCTTTGGTACCCTAACGGATGCTGGTGCCTGGCATATGAAGCTAGATAGCTTTGTAAATTCTCCAGGTATTTTTCAAGATTTATGTAACTGTTTAAATTATTTGCTGGAGGGAGGAGGCTGAATATAGAGAAAAGGAAGTAGAAAAGTAAAGTTGTGTGTTTTAGTTAGCTACTTGTGGTTTACAGCTGTTTATTTAATAGCATCATTGACTTCTTTTATTTTTTATTCAGCAACAGATTTTTTGCTAGAAGAGCGTAGGGAATTGTTTTTGTGGAGGTTTGTTTTATGTGTGTGCTTGTTTGGTTTTGGGGTTTTTTTTTAATAGGGTAATACTTGTTCTTCTGTGAAGTAAAAGGCTATGGGAAGAAAAGAGTTGGATGTCATTTGTGCGTGTAATTATTTACCCTAACTACAACTAAAAACCTTCAGAGCAAATTTCAGATGTTATTTAACACAGCAAATTTCAGGGGAAACTCATCCTGCTGATTTGAGCTGAAGGCATTATTTTAATCAACACTAGGTGTTTGTATACAATCAGAAAATGGGACTTTTTTTCCTCCAGACTTCTGTAAAGGAAAAAACCCAATATAAAAAAAAAGTCTTAGTTTTCTGGAATATTACAAGCAGATGAAGTGTCAAAGGTTGTTGAAAACTACTTGTGGAGGAATAGCGGCCTTACCTGGGAGTAACTGTAACCTGTTGTGGTGGTCCTCTTTGTATGTCAGTTGACACACAAGTGTCTTGGTTTTATTTTGCAAAGCATATTGGTGGTGCTTGTTGCCCTTTCCATACATGAAATCTATATGTGAGGAAAGGAAATGCATACAGCATATTTGTTTTGTAACAGCGAGGGACAGGCTAGCAGGGGACCTGGTTGTCATAAAATCTAGTATTAAAAGGCAGTTCTGATTTGCATGCCTGTGCCTCCCTTTGCAAACTTTTTTCATGCAAGTTTTTTCCTTGCGTGTTATCAGAAACATACAGAAACAACTTCTACTGAAACTCCTTTTTATTCTCAAACAGACAAGAAGAGACTTTCAACCATTGAACTCAGTTTGGTACCATCACAGGCAGCTAGATCACGCTTCCAGAAAAAGTATATCACATTTAAAACTAGATAGTTTGCCCATAGTAACATAAGAGACCTGCTCCAAATCTGTCATATTTCCGATGGCTAGGGAAGGCCTGCTTTCAAAGATACTTTTATTCACAATGGTTACCTTTCTTTCCTTAAACATGTCTTCTCTATCTTTGACTTTTACCTGTCTTTAGCCTCCTTAACAGCTAGAACTTAACTTTTCTACTTTGTGGTTTTCAACACATGGACTGAGTTTCCTTAACACATCAACTGCCCTGATGTGGGCTTTGTCATAGGGCTGCACAGGGGTTCAGTACAGAAGGTTAGATAATTGCTATATTATAGTTTTAGTTATTTGTGAACATGGTCAGTGAAATACTTGGGCCCAAGAGCCCTTCCACCATTCTTTGAGAGGCTTATATCTTGAGTTCTGCTGCAATAGTCAATGTAGGGTACTTTCCCCTTGGAGAAGTAATAAATTTCTTTTCATTACTGATTTGATACGGACTCTTTAACAGGTTGTTGCTCTAGCCATCGTTTCCCCTGCAAACCACACAGTTCTCTCATTTTGGTTTACAGTGTTTTGGACTGGTGTTTACCAAGGGCATAGCTCAAGTTTCAGGCCAACTTTTTTGCAGTATATGTGAAAGCTAAATTATTCTAGTTATTATACTGCAATTCTTCAGTGCTCGTTAATAATTCTCTGTGTCAAGAAAGATGATTAGATCACTGAAAAAGAATAATAAATGGCCCAGGCTGGTGTAGCGAAAGGAATGCAAGATGAACATTCAGCAGCCTAGTACCTTCCATGGAAGAGTACAATCATCTGTGGGGACAGCATGGCTTGGGTAGGCCTTCGCAGTGCAGTTGTTCACACTCCAAGTAGGTTAGGCTGAATGCTGCAATGCAAATGTGATACAGTCAAGCCTATGCATGGAATGAAAACATACTGTGTTAAGACTTCAGGAAATTGGGGAGCACAAGAAGGGAATTGGGGGGAAAAATGTGCGGGTAGAATTTGACCTTGCTTTTCAACAAATTGCTATAGGTGGTACAGACATAATGGTTTGTACTTAAGTTTGTGTATGGAGGAAGTCTTAATATATTAGTTTCTCTTTATGAGCATCTCTGATATGAGAGAGCTGGGACTGTTAGAGAAGGCTGGGGGAGGCGGGAATCTTGTCAATGTCTGTAAATACCTAAAGGGAGGCTGCAAAGAGGACGGAGCCATGCTCTTTTCAGCAGTGCCCAGCGATAGGACCAGAGGGAATGGCCTCAGAGAACATCAGGGAACACTTTTTTTGACTGTGAGGGTGACCAAGCACTGGGAATAGGTTGCCCAGAGAGGTTGTGGAATCTCCTGCCTTGGAGATACTCAGAAGCAGCCACCTGGATGTGGTCCTGGGCAACCAGCTCTGGGTGTCCCTGCTTGAGCGGGAGCGGGGGGTTGGCCCAGGTGACCTCCAGAGGTCCCTTCCAACCTCAGCTATTCTGTGATGCAACGTAGTATTCCTTCCAGTACCACATCCTTAATTCTGGTCTTGTTCTGCAGAATCTATATCCTAAAAAAGGGCAGAAATGCACCAGTATCACTTAGGAGCAAATCAGCTCCTGTAAGTCTCAGATAAATGTGCTTCGTCAGACAAATGGAATACTAGGGAACATGGGATTGACAAATTCGTAACAGCTCAGTAGGCCTAGAACTCTGTAAGCTCTCAAAGAAAACAATCAGACTCTCCACAGCACAGAATTAGATGAAGCCCATTTAGGAAAATGGAAAACAAAAAAAGGTGACGTGATCTTATTTAGTGTTCACATGTACTGTAGCCTTTACAGTGTATCTTGGAGCCTTGCTGCACAGAACTGTGTGGCAAACTGTAGCTTCAGGTATAGTCTTTATTATTCCTCTTCATGTGTAGAGTATTTAAAGATACCAGTTTAGAGATGATACCCTGAAAAGAACAGCTGTTCTTAGACAAAGAGGGAGATTTTAATAAATCGAATACACTTACTTGCAAAATAAATTGAGATCAAGTACAATTGTAACTGTATCAGAGACCTATGGAAGGCAAAATAGCAGCCTGAAATAAAACAGGCATGCAGATTTGAGAAGGAAAAGTCAAGTTCTGGAAATACTTACCATGAATCATGGATTTGGTCTGTGCAGCTAAGACATAGAACAGGTCTGTAAGGGGAAAAAATTAAAAGTTGCGTAGTATTTCCAATCAGTTTTTCCTCCATTAGCCTCTTTTGAGAACTTTTGGTAGAAAACCCCCACCAACACTACACGCAAGGAGTCAGATCCTTTATCTGGAAGGGTCAGTCTAAAATAGTGGCAATTGTGTTCTAAAGGCTGTTTTATGTTGTCTTGTAGACCGCACAATAAGCAATAAATTCATACTTCATAAAATATTAGTGTGTTCAAAGGGAACTGGTTATCTTTTTGTAATTCCTGTTACTAGGGGAAAGTCATCCTTGGTGGAGAGGTAGATATTGACTGTACTTTGTATATTTGACTTGGAACTGTGGTAGGGGTACGTGCTCTCAAACTGATGGTGGCAGTAGTACTGTCTGTTCCAGGATATGGACAGGATAAGCAAAGGGAACCTCTCACTAGACCAACAGATGTAATTGAAGTTAAGTATTTGGCCTTTTGGTATTTCCATATTAAAATTTCTAAATCCAGGAATAGCTATGGACCATACATATTTTAAGTTGTGTACAATCTTTCTGTACAATCTTTCAGTATGTAAGTATCTTGCAGTGTGAAGATTTTTCATTAAATCCTTTGCTGCTTAATAATGCATTGTGTAAACTGTGAAATCACACTAGTTTACTTGAGAAAATTATCAAAGTGAAAGTCAACAGAGTAGGTTTCTTTCTCCTAAATACACTTTTAAAGCTTTTATTATTAGCTGGTTGTGGATTACTTTTAACATCAAGCCTCAAGTATAGCTTGCATTCTTCCCCAAACTTTCCATTTAATTTGCAACTTTCTTAATTTGAAAACTGTATAAAGTTTGGAATCAAACTTAGGTATGAGTATTTCAAGGATACCATAGATGAGCTGCTTAGAGATAACTGAAAATTTTGTGCAGGCAGTTTTTCTGGTGGATAAAGATTTTTGTCAGAACTAAGATTTTCTTACAGGAAAATGGCACTTTCTTCAAGACATACAAATTTCTATTTTCTGACAATAGAAGAAGTAATTTCAATTTCACGTTTCCCTAGAAAACCACCTTAAAAATAATATGATAGAATACCTTATTTTGGAAATATTAATTGAAAATTCTGCTTCTTCCACTCTGATTCAGAATTGTATCTAAAACTAAAATATTGAAATCCATTACAAATCAAAAGAATATGTTAAAATGGGTTAATAATGTGTGTTTGAATGTGCAAACATTTTAGTTATATTGCAAGCTGCTTGATGAATTTTAATGTTTTTATAGTTACTGTCTCATGGGAAAAGAAAAAAAATGGGCTGTTGTTTTAGTCCCTGGTTGTTTATTAAGGTATTAACCAGAGGACTCATAATCTACCTGTGATGAGTTTGAACATAATTGCCAAACTGTATAAAGTGTTAAAAAAAAAAAAAAAGTATATTTTGGTAACACCACCATATTCCTCAAGAAATAATTTTTTAAATAGGAAATAACAGGAATAAGTAATTATTTTTAAGAGTGATGAAATAATTACCAATATTTTTGATAACTTTCCCAGAGATATTTAATCATTCATGATTGAGTACTAAGAAATTTTTATCTGGAATATATCAGTTTTATTCAAGCAACTCAACTGTAACTGTCTAATGAGAAGATATTTTACAACAGTAAATCCATCTTGAATAATTTCCTGACAACCCTATTTTTACATTTCTTCTTTTTCTTTTCCTGAAGCACAGAGATAGTCCTGAAAATAATCCAGATACACCATTTGAGTTCACACCTGAAAACCAAAAGGTATGCAGACAAAAAAAGTTAAATACGCTGACTTTGTCTTTAGGTCAGTACTGATATTTTTTCCCCTCTTTTCCTTTAAAAAGCGAATAGAAGCAATCATAAACAACTACCCAGGGGGACACAAGTCTGCAGCTGTCATGGCAGTACTTGATTTGGCCCAAAGACAGCATGGATGGTTGCCTATATCGGCTATGAACAAGGTATTTCATACTTGATTATCTTTCAAGCATGATTTCACTGTTTTCTTTAAATATCTTACTAGAATATTAGCATTTATGTATCAAAGCATACACGTGGCACAGAATTGTGAGAATTCCCTATGAGGGAATTTAAAAAATAAAAGGGAAAACTAACCCAGGGAATTCTGGGCTCTGTTGTTTACATAATGTTAGCCCATTGCTAGAAACTACAGACAGAACAAAACAAAAATTATATGATTTTATTTAGATAGGCTCTTTTCCCAGAATCATCCTGGAAGTAGGAACAGAAACTTGAGAAATTTTGCTCACTGCTGAATTTGCAGAAAGAAAAAAAGATAATGATGGTGGGGTTTTTCTCCTCTCAGATTAGTGGTACTAATTGCCAGGACTGTACTTAATCTCTAGGCCTCTAAAGACTTCTGCAAAGCAGCATGAGTGTAGTATGTGTCATGAGTGTTTTATAATGGCTCACAGCAAGTGCCCAGAAGACTTATCAAATTATGAAAATTGTTTCAAAATAAGCAAGTAAGCAACTACACTGCTCCAAAGTGATAGGTTGCATGACAGTAGTCAAATACCAAGAAATAAATAATTCCAGTTTATATTCGTGTGACTAAGTCTACCATATTTTGTGTTACAATCTGGCATATCATCAGTTTTAAAGTGAAAAGTTTTAAATTCAGTCAAGATATGCTAAATGGGGATTGTGAGCATTACAGAAATTACTGAAGGAGTTAAGTGCACCTTTAGAGAAAGGCAACTTACTGTGTCTGTTACTGTTTCTACAGTGTGGCATAAAGCCTCAAATTGCCTTTAATACTGAATGGGAAAAGTATTTTTGTTTATTTACTCTTAAGTTTTGGATTGATACTATGTTTAAAACAATCTTTAAGATTTTTAAGAGAAAAAACATTTTCTGTGGTTTGTTATTTGCTTGCTGTAGAGACTGGAACATAAAACAGTTACACTTTTGAAAACAGAGCCAGTTCTCAACCTGAGCAGTTTGCCAGGGTTCCAGGTTAATGAGGTCAGAGGGACTTACACCAGAACTGGCTCCATGGAGATCATGCTTCATTCCATATTTATTAGCTGTGACGCCAATCTGCAGATGTAGCAGTGGTGTTTCTAAGGCCAGCCCTGGTGCGTCACAGAACCCGAGGCAGACCTGCTGTATCTGAATTAGGTGAGCGTAGTACCGGTCTGTAAGTATTCCCTTACCAAAAGGCTTACGTGGGTTAGTGCGGGCAGATGTGTACAAGTTCGTTCATACAGCAAAAGAGCAGAAGTGCAGTATGAGCTGGAGCTGACAATGAAAGCTGGAACCCAGCTGACTCCTCACGTCTAGGCTTGTGTATGATGCTAGATGCTGGAGGGAACTGACTCAAGCTCCTTGCTGTGCTGATCCATGGCTTAGTGGAGTTTGTGCTCGAGCAGGGTGAATCCAATCAGGTGTCTTTTCTTGGCACTTGAATACAGCTGTGCTTTGATACCCATCTCCTCCCTCTTTATCTGTCACTGCAGAGAGAGGACAGGTGACTTTATTGAAATGGTTTGTTAAATGCCTTTACTGACGCCCTGTGAGAATTCAATATGGTGTCTCTTTTCCCCTTGTTACAGGTTGCTGAAATTTTAGAAATGCCTCCCATGAGAGTGTATGAAGTAGCAACCTTCTATACAATGTATAATCGCAAACCTGTTGGCAAATACCATATTCAGGTCTGCACTACCACGCCTTGCATGCTGCGAGACTCTGATAGTATTTTAGAAGCCATTAAGAAGAAGCTTGGTATGACACAAATTTGTGATACACTTTTTGTAATTTTTTTTACCTTTGTTTAATGATACTGAAGTAAAATTTTTTCATATGGTGGGGATAGAGCAGTAGTATTGAAAATATGGAGTGAAATCATTGGAGAATAGGCACTAAATACTTCAAATTTCAGATTTGGCATTTATTCTTTATTTTTTAAAGATTTCATTACAGTAGAGCAGAAAAGGCCATTGTCTGGAGTGCAATTTAGTGGTCTTAAAGTGGTTTTAAAGGCAATTTGTCGGGAAATGCATTATTCTAGTATGACGCTTGGACTGAGACAGTAAGCCCTATCCCATATATAGGAGAGGACTCTGAATGCTATGGCACTGTTTTATATGCAAAATAAGATTTTTTTTTTTTTTTTTTTACTTGAGGGTTTTTTACTTAAGTAAGATGATAGAATCATAGAATGGTTTGGGTTGGAAGGGACCTTAAAGATCATCTAGTTCCAACCTCCGCTGCCATGGGCAGGGACACCTTCTACTAGATCAAGTTGCTCAAAGCCCCATACAGCCTGGCCTTGAACGCTTCCAGGAATGGGGCATCCACAGCTTCTCTGGGCAACCTGGTCCAGTGTCTTACCACCCTCACAGTAAAGAATTCCTTCCTAATATCTAATCTAAATCTACCTTCTTTCAGTTTAAAACCATTACTCCTTGTCCTAGCACTACTCTCCCTGATGAAGAATCCCTCCCCATGTTTCCCGTAGACCCCCTTTAGGTACTGGTAGGCTGCTATAAGGTCTCCCCAGAGCCTTTTCTCTTCTAGGCTAAACAACCCCAACTCTCTCAGCCTGTCCTTGTAGGAGAGGTGCTCCAGGCCCGCCGATCATCTTTGTGGCCCTCCTCTGGACCCACTCAAGCAGGTTCATGTCTGTCTTATGTTGGCGGCCCCAGAGCTGGACGCAGTACTCCAGGTGGGGTCTCATGAGAGCCAAGCAGAGGCACAGAATCACCTCCCTCGACCTGCTGGCCACGCTTCTTTTGATGCAGCCCAGGATACGGTTGGCCTTATGGGCTGTGAGTGCACATTGCTGGCTCATGTCCAGCTTTTCATCCACGAGTATCCCCAAGTCCTTCTCTGCAGGGCTGCTCTCAGTCCACTCGTCGCCCAGCCTGTATCCAGGTTTGGGATTGCCCCAACCCGGGTGCTGGACCTTGCACTTGGCCTTGTTGAACTTCGTGAGGTTCGCACAGGCCCGCCTTTCTGGCCTGTCAAGGTCTCTCTGGATGGCAAACATGATGTTAACCTAACTTATGAATGCTCCATGGAAAAAGTCAATTGTGAGTGCTGCATCCTATGAGATGTAAGGAGAACCCATGGGGTTTGTGTGTGGGTTGTTTTTTTTTTTTTTCCTCCTTGTTGGGTGGTTATGGGGAGAAAAGGGGATAAGATCAGCAACTAACAACTCTTCCCCTTCTATGAAGTCATGAGCTGTGCTAACACTTCCTGAGAACCACTGTGATAAGAGCTGCAGAACAGTTGTTTATTATCTTGCATTTCATTGTATTCTGTTGTCTGGAAAAGGCACATCTAGATGAAATCTGTCTTGGCTTGTTACTGCAAAGATAGCTTAATTTTAACTGAAACTCTTAGCTTGAGAAATCAAAGCATTAAGGATGATTGTGTAGCTCTTAATGAGACACAGGCCTTACTTAGACTTTTATTAGGTTTTTTTCCCCTTCTAATAACTCTGGAAGAAAACTGTTTTTCAGCATTCTTCCTTCCATGGAGTATTTTGTCAAGATCAGACTCTGAGATGTTATTTTGGCTAACCTGCCCTTTGTATCTGTCGCTTGAACAATAATGTGTCATGGAAGTGAAGTATGTGTACGGAGTTGTTCAAGAAATAAGCCTTTGTGTATAAACTTGGAAGATGCATATGAATTTGTAGCTAATCATGTTAATGCTTGGATCTTTGTTAATGTGGGAATTCAGTACTCCACACTGTACAGTAATGCATTTCATATCAGCACATGAAAGCGATGTTTTCCCTATTTTTTCAATCTGTTGTATTGATTACTGAAAATGCTCCTGAGTAGAGCTGTTCTGTTTCTTAAAACTGTCGTTTCATGGTTATTTTTCAGTTAATCATACCTGTAAATGAGGTCTCAAAAATGTATCCAAAGACTGACTTCACAGTTTATTAGAATCTTTTGTTTAATGGAAACATTTTGGACTCATTTAAGAGGATTTAACTATGCAGATGTTTTTAAGGCCAAAATACAAGTAATGAGAAGCCTACGGAGTACTTAACACTCGTGCTTTATTAATCTTGTTCAGTAACTATTGCTGAACCTAATATTCTTTATTGGTTTAGGTATAAAAGTTGGGGAAACAACACCTGATAAACTCTTCACCCTGATAGAAGTGGAATGTTTAGGTGCTTGTGTAAATGCACCGATGGTACAAATAAATGACAATTACTATGTAAGTATTACATTCCCTTTTAAAAGATTAAACTTATTTGCTGGGTTACCTGTATTTTCACTTGTTCCAGATTCTGAAGTTTTGGTCAGTTACTTCAAATTCCTATTGGTAGGGACAATTTATAACCTAGAGCATCTTCTAGTTTCTTGGCCTCTTCCTAGAACACTTCATCTGTATGACAGTGTATCTGTGTGTCTTTCCTTCCAGTTACTGTCTTGATTTATACAAGTGGAATGATGCATTTTTGTGATAGTGGTCTGCCCATAAATCTGGAATTTTTAAATAGGTATTTGATAAGCTTTTAAAAGCACTTTAAAGCAATCTGTTGGAAAGTGTGAACTGGTTTAACACTGTTTTTGAACTTTTAGACTTCTGAATTATGACTCACTTGGATGCTATCAGACCAAAGGAATTAATGTATTAACTGAATCCAGATTTAAAAAAAAAAAAAATTGAAAATATTTTCTTTTGTTACCACAATCTCATTATTTTTTTAAGAACTGTTCTCTTGAATTGTACCCGCAATTTTTTTTTGTTACAGCTGACACCATTTTGCAGAATGTGCAGTGGCACATGTATAGTGGGTAGGCAGAGATCCAGCTCACTAATATGCCAAGGAAGCTGAGAACAGAAACCTGTTATAGATGACCCACATCAACATTGTTAGTTTCAACATAATTTCTGCAACAATATGTAAAATAAAAATTTTAACATTAAAATGACAGTAGGCTTTTTAATTTTCCTAATTCTTTGAACCAGTATGTGTGTTAATGGACAGGATCAAAATGACCTATGCTAGGATGACACCTAAGAAAGCCACTATATGATGGATTTTGAATGCTGCAATTAGCATAATTGCTGACTTTTTCTGTTTTGTCAATGATCTGATTTTTTTTTGTTTGTTTGTTTTTTTACAGGAAGATTTGACACCCAAAGATATTGAAGACATAATTGATGAGCTAAAGGCTGGCAAAGTTCCCAAACCTGGCCCAAGGTATGGTGTATTTGCATAATAATGGCCCACTACTTGAAGGCTGATCCTTTAGAGAAACTACATTCCTGTTCCAGTGATTGGAGTTCACAACCTACAGCTAAAAAGCATTAATTACTGAAGAGAATGGCATGCATTCAGTGCCTTTCTATATATTCAAAGCCGAAAAAGAACTGGAAAGAACTGAGAAGAGAATTTTTCATGTTGTTGATGACTGACTAGAGGAGCATAAAATGTGAAAATGTCAATTCTGATTTGGCTTTAGTACCTAATAGGGGAATGACACCACCTGTTGGATTTTTTGTCTAGATTATGTAAATCAACAAATGCCTGATGTTTGGTTGGGTTGTTTATTTCTGACAAAACCCAGAAAGATCACAAGTTTGTGAAAGGGTTATTATTTCTGAACTTTTCTTATCTGTTATTTCCGATTGTTCTTTGTTAGCCCAACTATAGATAGTTATAGTTTGTGTGAATGGAGGAATTAATTTGACTTGGGTGTGTTACCTATTCCTGTTGTTTCTATAATGATTTTTTTGAAAACAAGAACAATAATCTTAAAACAGTTAGTTTCCAAACACAGGGAAGCATCTTTAACAAAAATATGACTGATACAACTGGATGCTGCCTTTGGTATTACTGGGATCAACATCACTTTTTTCTGGCCAACCTATAAATAAATAAACAAGAAAACTAGTGGTCCTGTCTTGCATTTCAGTTATGAAACTATTTGTCACTACTTGAATTTGGAATACTTTTGATTTAAGAGTAGAATCTTGCATTTCTGAAGGATGAACAGGAAGAATGAAAGAAAAAAAGTTACTTCAGCCTTAAGTCAGATTTGTAACTGTCTTCTATCCAGTGATTAAACAGTATCTGAGGTTATAACAATACCAGGAATGAAAAAAAAAACTGCTTTCATTTTTCAGGAGTGGACGTTTTTCTTGTGAGCCAGCTGGTGGCCTTACTTCTCTGACTGAACCACCCAAAGGACCAGGTTTTGGAGTTCGAGCTGACCTCTAAGGAATTTTGTAATGTAAGATGAACTGTCTGAAAATAATAAAGTAACTTTAATCTCAGTAAAATTATGTATCTTCTAGTACTCTTTTAAAAAATGAAGAAAGCCACAGCAATTAGACTATCTAATTTACCATGGTTTTAACTACTGCAAAGCATAATCATAAGTCTAGGTTATAAGAAAAGTGGTTCTGTAGACTGTAAAGTGACTCACTGAAAGAGTCCGTTTATAATCACCGAGAGATGAAAGTTGCATCTTTCGATCTGTCATTGAAAATACTTGCAACTTTTTCTAAGGTTCTCTGAAGAAGCAACAAAACTAACTAAATTACAAGTCTGGCAAATGCACAAGGAAACAAACTGAAAGGAGATTACCTGACAAAACTTCATCGCATGTTACTTTTAATTGCAATTTAAAAACAAAAACAAACAGGAAAGGAGATCCAAGCTGTGTTGTGCAACAAAAAATAAAATAAAAATCTGGTAGGTTCAGTAAGAAGTAGTTCTTCTTGAGTCTTAATTCTTCTTGCTACCATTCAGTGACCAGGAAAAATGTGAAGATTATCTTTTTATCATGTTACAGAAAAAAAACCCCAAATACCAGTAGTACTCTACTAAAAGAATGAACAGCAACAAGAAACCACTTCCTGTACAAACTTATTCAATACAGCTAAGGTATGCAGTTGGGGGAAGACAGAATATACCAAAACAGTTTAGTATTTGGCTAAGTGTAATATATGAAACTAGTTACTTGATTCATGGATCCTTCTTTGACCTTACTGCTGGGGATCAGCTACTTTTCAGAACTAATCTGTGTGAAATTGAGGTATTTCTCCTGATATAAAAGAAGTTGAAGATTTTTTTTTTTTAAATTGACTGCATATTGACACTTAATACATATGCTTGTAAAATTCATCAAATGCTTTATATATATACACAGATACATTTCAACGTAAATTAGGAAATGTGAACGTGCCAGTCATGTGAGACCATATCGTGTCTGCCTCTTCTAAAATCTGCCGTGGAACTTGCATTCTTATTACAATTAATGTGACAGATGGAGTATTTATATTTTATTCTATATTGTATTTAGTTGGTTTTGATATTCTGATTAACAGTACTTCCCTAAACTATTCTCCCTCTTCTGAGCCAAATTTTGTATCTATGGATTTCCCTGCATCATTATTATCTCACAGAGTCTGTTTATGCCCCACCTTTACTTTGGTAGGCTCTGTGAAGTTCCTTGATGTATTGTTAAACAAGTAATGTTACTGTTGGTAGTTCTGAGAGCAAAATATGTATGTATATCACTTGTATGTAAAACTCTCTCTCCCTTCTACACTACTAGATTTATAAAATGAAATAATGGAATTGCATACAAATGGGAAAGTAAATTTGGTAAATAAATACAAGTCATGAGTGAAGCAGTCACATAATACGCATGAAAAAAATCTTGTATGTAAGTGGTACAGAACACTGTGCATATGAGAAAATAGTATGTGGACTGAAAGTTACTATCTGTAACTTACAGTTACTATCTGTAACTTAAAGTTGCTGAATGCTCTTCTGAAAGGTCACTCCAGTGTTTGTAACAGCCACACGCCTTGTAGCAGGCCGGGCATCTGGTACTATGTGGCACTTCCCTAGAGACATAAAATGAGACAGACAGCACATTACATTCTGATGCAAAGACAGGCTCATTTTAAGATACCAGTCTGTAACTAAGCTGTTTGCTTGACTCTAACAACAAAGCTGTATTCTAGTTCATATAGGATTACCTTATACTAACCTAGTATCAAAGCAGGCGACTATTTTTAAAGTATACGTTGAATATAAATGAGGATTTTGCATGTGTTACAGAACTGTCATGTGCTAAAATTATTCATGGTTTTCTATGCAACAGTGAAACCGCTGGGATTGCATAATTGTGTTGCAGGGAAACATAGTTTTGGACCTGCCAAGTTTGAAACTTCCAAGTATACAGAAACAAAGCTCTAGAATGCCAGTCTCCTCCTGTTGGTAAAGCTGGACAGGAGAATTTGTTGCCTTGTCCCACTTTTCTCCCCTATTCATTCCATCTGTACGTGAAAATCTTGATGTCTGTCTCGTGAGCAGAATATGGGCCACAACAGCTTCCCATTTGTGGGAGATCATGTTAGTGATGTTCCACAGACATCAGTCATTTTGATGCAACACGTAACAGTCTGCCAATCACTTGACTAGAAAAGGATAATTTATGTTATCCTTATTGCATGGTACAAATCTGATACACCACTGTTTAAATTGAATACTGTAGGGCATCTGTAGGACTGTGAAATATTTGAAGAGAAATAAGCAAATAACCATTATGCTTTTCTCTCATCTTACCCACTTCATTCATCAATTATATGAGGCTTTATGGTCCTGGTGTTTACATCAAAAAAGTTTGGCAGTCATTATATTAAGAAAAATGATTAAAGAAAAAATTCCCATCTTGTGTTATTTCAGGTTTTGTTGAAATTTGAACATTTGAAACTTAAAACATCTCAACTAGAGATACAGATTCTGCAATATTTTACATGTAGCTGTTCACTATATATAAAATTATTTTTGCAATGATAACTTATGCAGGATTGTGATGAGGATTAACAAGGTGGAAGAATTCTAGAATAGTGTAAGAATTAATATATCTGAGTTCTCTTTTCTGTTCTTGAATAGCTGCAGATAATACCCTGTGCTTGCTTTTACTAGTATTGAATATTTTAGGTAACAAATACTAACAGGACATAATTGCCATTATTCTCAATAGCAGAAGGTTACTAATAGTAATTCTGGGCAGCTGACACTAACTTGTCAAATAATTAAACATTTTTAATTCTGCAGTTTCAGTCTACTGGTTAATATCTTGGACTGTGCGAGTACTGGGTGGTAAATTAAATGAAAAGTGAGTTAACTAGAGCAACAGCCAGTATAGTTCTTAAACTGGTAATGCAACGGTAATGGAACTGAATCTGTCTTTTCAGTGTTCTTGTTTGCCCCTCTTCTTGAATGAGGGAAAAATGAAAGAACATGCTATATTAATTCTCCAAATGTAAAAGCAGAAGAAAAGAAAGTAAAAGAAAGCCCTTTAACTGGGGAGGAAAAAAAAGACTACCTAGAGGAGATTTTAAGAAAAATAGGTACAGTCTTGGGAAAGGAAATGAGATTTAGAACATGGAAGCACGCAAAGAATCCAGTGGACTGAGAGAGTGGGTGGTGGTGGTTCTTTTCCTTTGGTAAAGATGGAAGAATGTTTGGAGTAATAGGAAACTCCACTAGATACCCAATGATGCATTCGATGTTGGATAACGGAAAGGATTTCCATGACCTCCACGCATGGCTAGAAAAATGTTACCTGGAACCATGTTCTGTCATGAAATAGGAAGCAGCAATGAAATTCAGTTCCATCTGCACAGTGTGGTAGCTGGGCTCGCTGGCTGACCTGCTGGTTACCTACCCGAGGCTAGTGCCTGTGCTTTCACCAGCGTGACATTTTGCAGGTTCTTAGGATAAAGTTCTTGGGTTTAGGTTTTTGTACTGCAGTCTGAGATTTTCAGTCATTCAATTACTAGATTGAATTCAGCGATGACACAGTTCACCCAGATGCCATGCATGTTTGTCTTAAGACTATTTCACACAGCTGATAATGCAAGATGTTGGCAGATCAAGGGAAGCACTATGCACGCCAACACAGTGCAGCTACAAAGGCATTTTGCAGCTGTGCTATGTAAAAGGAGGGGCTTCTGGAGACAAGGGGAAGAAACTAATGTAGGGGTAGCAATTAGCAATTAACTGACGGATCCTTTTTGTTAGTCCAAACAGTAGTTCTTACAAAAGTCTTAAAGAACTGTATTTTTTAGTTACTGATAGGTATTATCAAATCTTAACATCTGCTGCAAGAAGGTGTTGCTCATGAGACTCCTTCCCCGTTATCTCAGCTGCTGGTTGTGAGCACCTGCCAACACAGACTGAAATCCTGCACGCTACTGGTGCTGATGCACGAGGATCAGAATGCTGTATTACAGTGCTGCACTACGCCTGTCATTTTTTTAGGTGGTGAATCATCAGTATCATCCCTATATAGTACTCTGAGGAGAAAAAAAAAATACTCTGCCTTGGGAAGTGGTTCCTACTCCACTTAGGCTGGCAGTCAAGTAGCCTGTCTACTCTTCAATCTGCTTGCCACCTCAAGTGATGGCCTCTGTAATCAACCTGACATGAAAGAATATGAAGTGAAGGCAACTCCCTTTGTTACGTGGTCACGGGTGCCACCATACCTGCTCCTGGTCAGCTGATGGTACTCGAGCTACACTCACAGAATCAAATGAAAATGAAGGCAGTTGCTTTACAACACAAATGATCTGTACTGGCATTTGTACAATAAGGCTCTGAAAGCAAGTGAGAGAAGTTGGCCTAAACAATAAGATGTTGTGCACGATGGGGACATTTGAAGTATGTGATGCCGTTCTCTACCCACGCTGGAACATGAAGGGGCGGAGATCAGAACATAGGGGAAGTCCACACAATTAGATGGCCTTAATCAAAGTAATCTTTTAATTCTGAAAAATTCGTGTTTCTGACTTGCATAGTAAATACAAAGGAATTCTTGCTTCCTACACAGTAACAGATGAAAGTAATCCAGTAGCAGGCTGAGCATGGCAATTAAGACTACATCAGATGGAAGGGCTTTGTTTAGCTGCCTTCTCAAAGTGCTACCTGACAGCCCACCTATCTTTAGCATGTTCCAGAAGCAATCCAGAGATTAAAGAACCCATGAGTACAGAACCACAGAGATTCTTTAACTCTTACCACATACTATTTTAATAAGCAGATGCAAAACCTTTCACAAGGGCAGATGAATGACCCGTTTTCAAGGCTGCAACTAGGGCTAACGTCAGTCTACTTCTGTAACCCCTTTTGATGCATTGATATGACGTCTAGCTTGTTGGCGCAAGCAAGACATACTTAAAAAAAAACAAAAAAGGGTGGGTTTTTTTTTGTTTTGAAAACTGGAAGCGGGCGCGTCAGAGGGCAGGCTGTGCGGGGCTAGGGG